CCCCAAAACCCCAAAACCCCAAAACCCCGTAAAGAAGTATTCCCAATTTATGGCAATAGATAATGATTAATATGAATAGAAAAATAATTTAATCTTTATCATTAGATAATACTTTACTTTTAGATATTGTTTAAAGTCGACAGGCTTGGATTCTTGAATATTTTATGCTCCTCAGTTTGTTCTTGAAAATCTTGTTTATTAAACTTCAACTAAGTTTCAGAGGGGATTCTATCCATCTTTTTCACACCTACTAAAGTCCTGCTCGATAGAGGTTCGAGTAAATTGGTTCCAACAAATTACTTCTTAAGAAATGAATTTTGAACAAGAGCTTTATTTATTCTGGTTGTTAGTTTTTCAGTTGTAACACTTTTATTTTTGTTGAAGTAACTTAGAGTTAACTAATCCAAATCCTTATTAATCTCTACTTATTTCTGATTATTTAAATGCTTAATGTCTCTTATTTTATCAGAATTATTTGTAGTTTATGCTGATTACCGGGTAAGTTTCTGCTAAGTTGTTCTTACACTTTCCTAATTGGCACTTGCAATAATTTCATTCTAGAAATGTTCTATTGAGTCTAACTGCTAATCATCAACTGGTTAAATAGCTTTATTGATTTGTTTTATCTTAACTATTACTTCAGGACTTATATCAAATTACATATTGTTTGAAAAGGTGTTCTTCCTATTTGTTGACATATTTTTACTTAGCCCCATCATTGTATTGTTATAGCTTTATCTTTCAGTCTAGCAGTGATTTTCACTCTTTTATTTATATATTTTAGGCAGTACTTACTTAGTAGCCTCAAATTTAAGCTCAATCTTCTAACCCTTGGTGAGTATTTAAGTGGGCTAAAGTGGCGTTGAATTTCTCAGAGAATTGTGATATCTTTCAACTGATTTAATATTAACTTAACTAGGGGCTCTTTTAGGGCTTCTAGTTGAGGAAGATTTCACTTTTTATTTGAGCATTGACTTTTGGCCAATGTTTGTTTTGATCATGTAAATTTTACCTTGATCTATTGATTGAGTGAGATTATCTCCAATTATATTTATCTTAGTTAGCAATCTATCCTCCTTTTAATCACCTGAGGTCTAATTATCATCACTTAACTCTATTGAAGCATCTAATTTCGTAAATAGGCACTTTGGTATTTCTCCAGCTAAACTAGAGCCTTTATAAACTCTTTGATGAGTATACTTTTGATTTTATTTAACATTAGGAGATTTTGTTGCAGCTCTTTCCTTTACAGGATTATCATTAGGCTGTTAATATATCCCTGTTAGTCTATTAACATTAAATGGGTTAAAAGAATAAGTTTATCCATCTTTAACAATCTCGCCAGCTTTATTCAGCAGATCTCCTGTTTCATTTTTTCGATTATATTCCAATTATTCCTATAGTTTTTTAATTCTCTCCATAGAATGAGCTTCATAAAAGTTCTAGCATGATCTAGATTCATACATAAGCTATCTAACTTTATTATTTCTTTATCTATCCCCTGGATTATGATAATTAGGAATTACTTTTTCATCCTAGTTGTCTTCCTTTTTCATTTAAGCTACTACTGTTGCTTATTTCTTCTTGATTCTCATCATGAATTTGTCATGATTATTTTTGCTTGTGTCTCTCTAAGTTAATGATTACTTAGATACTTGATTGATACTGAGTAATACTTGGGAATTCTTCAGCAATGGTTGTTTAATTTGAGGTAGTTAAACATGCATTGAGAGATCTGGACTTTGAAACGTATTTTAATTAGAATTTTTCTTTGTAACTATTCCTGAATTCTAATTAAAGCTTAAATGATCACCTATTCATTGTGTATTTAAGAATCCACTATTCTCCTATAAGTTTTGCTAAATATGAAGAACTCTAGCATTCCCCATGTTTACATTATCAAAATCAAGCTTCTTGGCATTCTGTTAATAATCATTTTATTACTACTTTATCTAAAGATCATTGTTCTTTTTAATCTATTGAATATATTAAGACAGGATCTAACTATTAGCAACTTAGGTATGAGGATTTACTAGGGATTTTTAGCTTGTAAGTATATGATTATGATTGTTCATATAGTCATGATAAGAATTAGGGCCTAGGCTCGGAGATTAGCCTATTCTTGTTAAATTATGTGATTTATCTATTAACTCAGAGTAAGAGGAACTCTGAAGATCATTTTCTTTACTAACGGGTATTCTAATTGGTTAACTATACTTTGAATATCCACCTACATCACTAGACCCTAAAACATAAAAAGTAGTTATTTACTCTTAGATTCAGATTAGTTAATGATAGCTGTTTATTTTTTAGAAATGAGAATTTTCTTCTTGGACACCCTAGGTGAATTTGCCTATGTCTTTGAGACCTAGACATCTTGCAGCTAATTGTTAGGTAATTTAATCAAAGATATTTTTGATCCTTTTTTACTCAAATTGATGGTACCCTCATAGACATTCTCATCTATATTGATTCTATCCAAGATGGCTGAATTCTCAAATAGTATTCTATCATTTGACCTGTCTCTAATTACGACAATTAATAAAAAACTAAAGAAAATACTGATGATCTAGGGTGTTTATCATGTACTGTGATTTAATTATCATTTTTAATAAAGTAAATCCTATTAAATAAATTATTAAAAATTTAAGTTTGGTAGTTTAAATAATATTCATTTCTTTAAAATCTGTTTTATTAACTGTATATCAAACATTGTTTTAATTATAATTCTGATAATTTAATACAAATGCAGGCAGAAGATTAGCCTCGTCAAAGCCTTATTCTTTCCTTGCTCCCGACTCCAGTCTAAGAGATAACTACTGAGTCAGATGAATTTAGTGATCAGCCACCTATATAAAAGATACCAAAATATATTAAAATTCTCTAAGAAATAGAAAAAGAAGCTGAGAAAATTCTGGGAAGTAAAAAACTGAAATTATTTTTCCAAAGTTTGTACGGCCCACTTGAAACTACAGAAGATGATTTAAATGAATTGCGCTGTATGTTGAGAGCAGTTGCAGATATATCTGGAAATGATGGTGAAACTAATTCCCTCGAGGAATAGGTATTTAGAAATGAATAATTGCGAAGATCTAATGATTACTCCATGGAGCAGTTAAGAAAGGCTAAGAGAATATTTGATGAGTGCCAAAAACATGATATGGAACTTTTTGGAATCAGCAGAGTCAACACCACTTCTAAGAATATGATCCAGAATTTCCAGAAAATAAATAGGGATTTAGTAATTGGTAAAGAAGCAATGGCTAACCCATCTATTGATTAAATAGCACTAAAAAGTATGGGCTAGCATAAAGCTCTTGCTGAAGGGGACCTAGAAAAGTTTAACTCCTTTCGAGAAAATAAATTCACTGACTAGTAAATCTTATAGTATCTGGAAAATTAAATTGAAAATGAGTTGAGTGATCTAGATAAATTCAGTGAAGATCTAGGGATTGATCCATATAGATTCAGAGACAAGGAGTTCTAAGCTGATTTTGGAATAGATTTCTCAGGAATGGATGATGATGAGAAAATGCCTGATTTACTAGATACCTTCCCTAATTCTATTGTGAAACCGAACCCTCAAGGATAATATCTGGAGAAACTAAAACTCAAAATGTACGATGAGCTTGAAAATATTGATCACATTATAAAGTCTTCAGAGGATAATATCAAACTAACCAAGTCACATTATCTTTTGCATTTAAGGACAGTTTATCATGAGAAAGTAGTTGCTTTAAAGTAATAAAGGGATATTTTTAGAGACTAACTTAGTAAAATGTCAAGAGCTCACACGTTATAAATGAGAAACATTGAGAATTTTGCCTTATCAATAGCAGCAGAGATGTTCAAAAAGAAAGCATAATAAGTTCGAGTAGTATTTTCAAAAGAATGCAGTCATCTAGTATCAGAGTATGAAAAAATTCACAGAGTTATGAAATTTTTTGAAAAGTCATTCAAAGAATTATAAAAACTCCTTTCAACATAGGAGTAAGAGTTGTCAGATTAGAACCTTTATATGTCAGAGTTAAAAAGGCGAAAAAGGAAGTTTCAACTTAAGAAAAAAGAAATAGAACCTTATCTATCTGAAATACAAGGTGAGAGGTTTAAGAAGATTCCAGTAAAGGAATTCATGAAAAAGGAGTTTGACTTCTATGGATTGGGAATCAGACTTGGACAGTAAGAAAGAGAAAAGATATTGAAGAACATAATGTTTAAGTATTAAGAAAAAGAAATTCAGAACTACAAAGATAACTGGAAGGTAGCAAGACAAGAAGTGACAACTTTGAATATAATGATGGAATAATCATAAGCTGCAGAATTTAAAGTAAAAAACGAAAATGCTTAACTCTTGATTGATTTGGAAAATGAAAAATAATTGCATGCGAAAAATTTGGAAATTAAGGACAATCTACATGCAGCTGAAATTGCCAAGAGGAAGCTAGAATATTAATAATTAGTAAAGGACTATATGGAGTATAAATAATTCGTAGAAGCTGAAAATTAGGTATCAATGGAAATCATTATAAAGTAAAAAGTTATTTGTTAAGACGTTGAGAAATTGAAAGAAGATAACAATCTGCTTTATTCAATTATTAAGTATCCTCATCTTTGCAAGGATTTTCATCTCAAAGTTAAAGAAGCAGCCTGTTTGGAATATTAAGGTTAGATGAACATATTACAGGATATTTATAAGGAAAATTATAAAGATGGACAACTACCTGTGATACCAGTAATTGATGAAAAAACTAAAAGAGAGATGATGAGAGAAAAGAGGAGAGGCAAGACCTCACCTTCCTTCCTTGATGCTATAACCACAAATCCAAATTAAAAGCCAGTTTCGGGTAAATCATCCTAAATTGGGAAAGATGAATTTCAAACTCCATTCAATCCATTGATGCTTCAACAATTGCAGTAGATCTAATAATAGCAAATGCAATTAGGCACACCTTTGACCCCTAACTAAATGGTGTAACTCTCGCAGCAGATGTAAATTCAATAGTAGTAGATCTAGACACAATTCCCTTACCTTGATTCTAATAACATGACACCTCAAATGCTTAGCTAATTCAGTCAATCAGTTAATCTATAATAACCCCAATTTTACCCATAAGGTCCTAACTTGCAAATGTTTTAAACACCTTAGGAAAAATCTGGAGAGATAATGACTGAAGATGTTAAGTAGTACCTAGGTGAACTTTTGAGCGGCTAAAAACTCAACTCAACTTAATTAATGAGTAATAATAATATGCTCTCTACTACAACAAGATTAATGACTTCTCAGGGTACAGTTGACTATGGATTAGAACCAATGTACAGAAGTACAATTGATTGGAATATACAGAGTGGAATTATAAGCACTGAAAAACCATTCCAGATGCATTCTCAATTAGAGTCTTAATTTTCTAAGTAAAAAAACAAACTGCTTTCAAAAGCTAATAAAATACTCACTGTTCCTAGTACAAGAAGTGGAAGAAGAGCAAATCTTAATCTGGATGCAGTAGCGAGAGCTCTTTAGGCTTAGTAAGAAGATAGTACAAGACCACTGCTAGTCATAAACTAAATAGGGGATAAGAGAATCATAAAGAGGAACCTAATGAATCAGTCTCTCTAAAACCCTCATCTTAAATGGAATGAAATGATGGGAGATGAAAAGCCCTCTAAAAATTTAGAGAAAATACCAATAAGTGGAAATAAGAGATTTTTAGAGTTACATCTCTTGAAAAAGCATAAAAGAGATCAATCAATAATCAAGTCTCCTGATACAATAAATGAAATACACACAGCACTGCCGAAATCAAAGAGATATCACAGTATAAATATAGATAACTTGAACAAAAGATCTAAATAGTTTAGTCTCAATGAAAGAACAACTAGAAATAACTACCCAGAGGCTATTACTGAAAAAGAGATAAAAGAGAGATTTTTGACGCATAGAAAGAAATTACAAAGTTTAAAAACTAATCAAAGTATTGATCTAGGGGAGAGAACAACTACTGTCAAAGACACAAGTCTGGAAATAAGCCCAAACAAAGTAGAGAGAAAGCAAAGCTTGGGAATCATATTCGATGAGATTGAAATTATGAATCTTATGAAGCCATAGTTGTGAGTAGAAGTCCTGAAATTTTGAGTAAAGACTTCATTAGATTATTTACTTGAATGATTTGAATATTGATAAAAAAATTTAATTTTAGTTTTTAGGAGAAACTATCGCCCATATATTCTTTAAAATGTATTTTAATAATTATTAATTTCATTACATATCATTATAGAAAACATACGTCATCTAAGAAATGGGAGGAAAAGATTCAAAGCCAGCATAGCAAGAGCCTAAGGCAAAGCCAAACTGCGAAAAGCGTAAAAAGAGATAGGAAGAAGAAGAAAAATAGATTGAAAGATTTGGTTAGGAGACCGCTCCTCACCTTATGGTGATTGAGTTCTGTGGAGGATGTGGGTTCTATAGATTTGCAGCATCAACTGCTGAGAAAGTTGAGCAGAATTATCCTGGACAATTTTATGTTGAATTAAGGCCAGATTAAGATTAGACTGGCAGACTGGAGATCACTGTTTTCATCAATTAGGAGGACAAATAGATCATTGAGATAGACAAAGGCACAAACGTACATTCTAAGGACGGTGGCCACGATATTCCATATAAGGATTGGGATGGATTCTTTAGTAGAGTTGACAAAGCAATTTTAGAAGCAAATAGGCAATGAGAGATCATTGAACTAAAAATGGACTCAAATGAATCCATCAGTATGAGATATCTTAATAGAGTTACTTAATCAAAATATTTATTTCGAGAGCATTCCATCTTGGGTTTATATTTGATATCTCCTTACCTATGTAAATAATTCAAGCATGGGGTTTTGGGGTTTTGGGGAGATCGGA